CATCAGAACCACGCCTGACAGGGCCGGTGAACTGAGCAGAGCTTCTAACAGACCCCCATGGGACGTCACTCCATGGAGAGTAGAGATACATGCTCCAGCATGCATGTGAAACACAACACAGACAGACAGACCACAGCTCCCTCCATAAGGATGAACCTTGCCAACAAGCTGAGCAGAGAACACAAAGGAAACACGCTGCATGACTCAGCCACAAGAAGTCCCGGACGCGCATGGCAGCCCCAGAGACGGAAATTAGCCAGGGAGCTCCAGGGGAAGGGGGGAGCCTGGGAGGGGCTCTGGGGACGGTGGGTGCCTGGATGTCCTCAAGTGACATCCTCACTGTGCTCATTTCTGGGTCACTTCATTGTGGGCTCCACTGTGCACTGACCACACAGGACATAGCCTTCCAGCAGGGCTGGGAGTGCAAAGGCACTTAATGCACACTGGGAATGTCCAAGGTCCAGGGTCCTGGGACGGCAGGAGGTACTGCTTGTTCACAGGCAGCCCAGGCCCAGAGCAGCACAAAGAATGTTCCAGAGAACAGTCATCTGCAAAGAAGGAGGGACAGGTGCAGCAGCTAAAGCTAGAGCCCAGCAGAGGTGCTCTTGCCCCCGGCCCCAAATGCACTGAGCAGAGCTGAGCCCACCCTGCCCCACAGGCTACCATCCCCAGAGATTCCAAGACAGTGAGACTAATGCCATTGTGCTCACGAGCCCTTGCGAGACTCAGCCACTACAAGACCACCTCTGCATTTGCCCTCAGAACACTAAGGAGACACAGGGCTCAGACAGTGCGGGCAGCAGGCCCTCAGGGGCTCGGAGGTGCCTGCGGTCTGTGACAGAGGGCTGTGTATAGGGATGGCAGCCTGGCCGGGCAGTGAGCCCTGCAGCCACGCCCTGTCCAGGGATCTCAGCAGGGAGTCCGCGAGGGGGCATGTTGGTGCCACACAGGAAGGAATGCCAACCTGGTCTGAGATGCCAAACAGCTCCTGGGGTGGTGGTACATGCCCACATCCAGGGAAGGAAACTCAGGCCCAGGGAGCATGGGGCTTGGCCTCCCTGTGGGCCTGGTCCAGTCCCAGAGCAGATGGGTGCTGGCCCTTGGGCCCCTCCCTGACGCCTGGCACCCTACAGGCCTGCAACATTTTTCCTCAGCTGCATAAAGCCTCGTAACAGGCCCCTGGCCACAAAGTAGTGGCCACAGACACGCGAGGCTGGCCAATAATGCTGTCTTAAAATGTGGATTAGTGGCCAATGTTCAACAATTGAGAGATCTTACACAAAATATCCAGATTCTCCTGAAAAACCAGATGCTCAGGCAGATGGTCACACTCCTGCCTGGTGGGGCTGCCAGAGGCCAAGCTTTCTCAGCAGGGCCAAGTCCCTTGTCCTGCAGTGGAGACAGCACAGTGCAAGGGCCTGGGGTATCTGCCCTCACCCTGCCAAGGGCACAGCCCTCCCTGCTGCATGACAGTCTGGGCACCACTCTGTGGGGTTCTGGGCCTGTTCCTTCCCTCATAGAGGTGCCCAGGCCAGCTCTACAGGATTCACATGAGGAGCTGTAATTGGGGGCGCCTGCCAGAGCACAGGGTCCTTGGAAGTCTTGGGAAAGTCATGTACAGGGCTGGGGCTCTGGAGGCCCAGGAGCATGGCGGGAGGGATGCCCAGGAGAGACATGTGGGGGGAGGGGCAGGTGGCAGGCAGGGCTCTGGGGAAGGGATGGGAGGCCGGGGCACCCCAGCCAGCCCTGAGCAGCTGAAGTTGGCAGGTCTTAAATTAATCAGCTACGATTTTACACAACACCACGTTTGGCAGACCTGGCCAGGGGCCAGCCAAGTCTCTGGAGCTCCCAGAGGCTTTTTAAAGCCCTGCAAGGACCAGGCCTGGGAAGGGTGGGGGGGCACCGCAGACCAGCCCTGGGCCAGGCAATGGGCTGGTGGGTCCCCAGTGTTCAGGATCCAGCATGCAGTGCAGGGAGAGGGCAGGAGTGGACCTAGGCTCCTACAGTACACAGTCAGTGCTGGCCCCACAGCCTCAGGGGCAAGAGGAACTTCCACGTATACACAGTGGAGAAGCCAGGACCAGACCCTACACAAGGTGGGTGAGGAGCTCAGGAGGAAGGGCTCACTGTTGTCCTGAAGCAGAGGGGACCACAGGCTTTTTGCTCTGGTCCTGGACCACAGCTATTCCCATACCCAGGCTCGGTCAGGGTGACACGGGGGAGGTAAGGAGTATGGGAATTCTGCTGCCTGAAGGCCAGGCCCAGTGAAGAGGAGGCCTGCACAACCAGCAAGACGTAGGTGTCCTTAGTGTCTAAGCCAAAGGCCAAGCAATGGGACCTGTGGGAGGTTACAGGGCAGGCCAGGCAGAAGGCACTCCACCCCACGCCCAGGGAGCACTGAGGGCACCACGTGAACTACTCACAGTGTTAGATAGATCCCTGCCAGGTCAGTGGCTGGGGGCAAGAACAGCAGGGTAAGGGGCTTCTGGATCTAAGGCTCCCCGAGAGAGGGAGGGGAAGGTCACAAAGCAGGGGCCCAACTCTCTGAGAATTCAGCTGAGGCCATCATATCCTCCATGAACCCATAGAAAGGGAAGAGTAAGGATCCTGTAGCCAACAAACCTGGGCATGTGCCCTGACTGCCCCATGCCTCAGTTTCCCAACCGGAACAGATAATGGAGCTGTGGTGTGGCCGCCGAGAGATGTCAGCACACATGAATGCTCAAATACATGCCTTCAATGGGAGCAGGAGGATGTCAGGCTCTAGGGAGGTGCTAGGAGAAACTGCCCAGAGAGGCTGGAGGTTACACAGCCAATGAAGAGAGCAGAGAAACGAGAAACAAGCTGAAATACACCCATTTGCACAACACTGGGGTACAAAAGATCATACATGGGACACAAAGGAGTCAGGTGGCAGTCCCTCCTGACAGGGCCATATCTGTATCCTGAGGGGTGTGTTCCCCCCACCCCATGCAATTGCAGAGCTCCAAACCAAACTCAGTCCAGCTCCCCAAGTGCCGACTCTGACATCACCAGACCACAGCCTGGGCAGGGGAGCCGACCCCAGATGCAGCCTGCAGCCTGGTGGGAGGAGCCAGTGCCCAAAATGATGCTCTGGGCGGCAGGTACATGGGTGCTGGGCCTGGCAAGGGCACTGGGCTCTGAGGGTAAAAGGGGTACCAGGGGCACATGACCTCACCTCCCCAGCCAGGCTCCAGCAGCTGTCTAAATAGCCCCCTCCCAGAGCTGGAGTGGGGGGAGATGGAATGGACGAGGGGAGGGATTGGTAGAAGAGGAAGAAGACAACCTCTGAAGGTGGCTCCCTGGGCTCACTGTGGCTTCTGCTCATGGATGGCCTAAGCCTAACTGCAAAGTTCCAGACTCTGGGCCTCAGTTTCCCCTCTGTGGGAACAGGGGAGCATTGCCAACCATGACTTGGGAATAGCCAAAGCTCATACCAAAAGGTGCCCCTGGGGTCCAGACTACAAGGGGAGATCAGACAGGAGGAGCCTGTTCTCGTAAGCCTCAGACATGCTATGTGCACCCCTCAGCCCACCACCAAAGTGAATACTCCCAGCCCAGGAGTCCGTGTCCAGCTGGGAGGCAGGCACTGAGGCACCCTGCAGGAATGTCTCCATGCTGACTGCACCTTGGCTCTATCCAGGCAGAACTGACCCTAACACACACCCATGGGCCTCTCAGTGGCTCCCAGCCCCTCAGGGCTCCCTAGGAGAGGAAGAAGAGTCCACACCAGACCATGGTGCAGAATCTGCACAAGCCAGGCCTACTCCATGGGTGTAAGGGCTTCCCGCAGTGTGGCATGGGTGGGTCTGAGCTGGCCTGCCATCTTTCAGGCAGGTGCCTAAGCTGTGCAGCGCACCCCCCACAGCCACTGTGAGCAGAACCTATAGGACCTCAGCGCACCCGACACCCTGGGGCCCCACACTCAGCAGCAGAGACCCCAGGGCCCCAAGGCCACCCTCAGTCACTTCAGCATGGTGTCCAGGCTCATGTCCCAAAAAGGGAAGCTGAAGGGGAGGGGAGGTGCCACAGCAATCCAGACACAGCGAGCACTAGAATATGGTTCCCAGCAGACTGGAGACACCTTCCCACACACAGGGTCCAGGGGTTGAGAACCAGCCAGACCATACTGGCCCCAGGCCCTGCCCCACCCACAGGGCACATGGGCAGGCAGGGACCTGTGTCAGCATAGCCTATCCTGTTATTTCATCCCTGACCTCTGCTTGCTGGCTCTCTGAAGCACCCCACCTTTGAATATGACTGGGAGCTTCCTTCAACCAGGCCAGCCAGGTCCCCCACTGCCCACCCCACACACAGGCAGCTCCCATCTTTCCATGGCCTCCAAGACACCCTTCCTGCATCTCTGTGCGGGGGGGCTCTGACCTGGTCCAGCCCAGCATTTCTGGAGAGGAAAGGAAAGCCTAGAAACCAGAGGGACACTGCACAGCACCACCCCCACGAGGACTCAGGCCCAGCAGGCCCTGAGTAGTCCCCCTGCTCCCTAGGAACAGCCCAGGGCAGAGGTGCGGCCCTTCCCTTGCCTTGTCCCTGGCCTTGCTCTGTGCAGGGCGGGTGGGGGCAGGGCAGGGTGCTGCTGCAGCAGACAACAGATCTCCCAAAGCCAGGAGCAGGGCCCCGCAGGGAAGGGGCCTCAGGCCTGTCCCACTCTCCCTACACACAGCCTCCAGAGAGGGCACACAGGCCAGCCTCAGAACGAGCTCCAGCCTCGTCTTGAAGGGACGTGCATAGTGGACAGTCACGGGAGAGACACGAGGCCGGGGCCCCTCACTAGTCCCCACCTACCGTTCAGCCCCCAGACACATGCCAGATGGACAGTGGAAACTTTCCTGTGGGAGGCCCAGAAGGGAGGGGCCCTTCAGAGGCACCCCGGCCCCTGAGCCCCTCAAAATCACGGGGCATGGAGCAAAATGATGCCCCTTCCCTCCCCGTCACTGACCCTGTGCCCACGCAGGCCTGACCTTACGGATGTGGCCACTGCGCGTGCCAGCAAACACCACGGTGCGGCCCCGGTAGTCATAGGCGGCCACAGCAGTCAGGCCATCGTCCTTGTCCACGAACAGGGGTGTGCCCTCAATGGTGACTGTGCCTCCCAGGGGTTGGTTGAAGTCCTGCCCACAGAAGTCATCATCGATCTGCAAGGGCTACAAGAGACACAGGGTGAGAGACGAGCCGTGAACACCTTCTCCCGAGCACAGGCCACCCCCGCCATTAGGGAGTCCTGGAGAAGGCAGGCCCAGGAGGGCCTCTCAGAGCGAGCACATGGCCAAGAAAGCCAAGACAGGCCCCACAACTCCAGGGCTCAGGCATTCCTGGGCTCACTGCAGAGACGGAAGAAAAGGTGAGGCTCTGCCAGCTGCCCTAGGCTAACAGGCATGCCTGGGGACAGACCTATGCCCACTGCACCCAACCCTAGGGGAGGAGGGAGGAAGGGGTGGCCTGAGGAAGGAAGAGCAGCCACAGGGACCAGGAAGTTACCCCAGAACCCCCAGAGCAGTGCTGATGGACAGACAGAGGAGGGGACAGTTAGGAGCAGGAGAGGTTGGGAGCACAGTCTTCCCTCTGGGAAGACGAAGTGCAGAGACAGAACCCGCTTATTTAAGACAGGAGGGAGACAGCCACACCTAAAAATATGAGGGGAAGGGCCGCTGTGCATGCAAGAAGTAATCGATAGGTGAGGTCCCAGAGACAGCTGGGGATCAGCACAGAGAGCCATGCCACGCTAAGGAAGAAAGGATGGGTGGACGGGGCAGGAGCACAGGGAGAGGAAAGAGGCCAGCTGGTTCCCCTCTCCGATCTGAGGTGTGCTGAGGAAGAAGACCCTAATGTGCACTGAGCAGGGGAAGCTGAGCCAGGCTGGGAGCACTGGGAAGCACCCTGGGGAGAAAAGGGCAGGTCCCTGACCAGAGGGCAGAGAGCATAGTGGGGGGACTTGGCTGGGCACTCCAAGCCTCAGTTTCTCCACATGTATAGTGGACGTACAATGCCTTCCTTAAAAAACAAAGGGGAGGCTGGCCCTGTGCACACACCCACTGCATACCTGAGAGAAGAGAAACGAGGACCCTGGCCACCCCACTCTACCCTGTAGCCAGAGAGGGGAGGGCCTCCCTGGGTAGCAGCAGCACAGGGTCTACGAGTGGCTCTGGGTGAAGGGTCACTTCTCACATGGCCTGGCCTGAGCCTCAGGTCATCCTCAGTGAACAATAGCTCTAGCCAAGGTACTCCTGCGTGGTCAGACCTAGGGAGGGGTGGGCCCTGCATGGCTACTGAGTACCCAGCACAGGTACAGCTTGGCCACCCCAATGAGAGGATGCATAAGCTATGGTTAGTTCCCACAGCGGGAAACTAGACTAGGGCAGGGGGTCCAGGGAGCATGGGGAAACAAGCGCTCCACAGAGATGGAATCTCGTTCAGGCACCCAATTAGGTCTGGCCCTAGCTTTGCCTCTTCCTGGCTATGTGACAGACCCTGGGCAAATCAAGCCACCTATCTGAGCCAGTAACCTTGCCTGCAAAATGAGACCAAGGTGCAGCCGGCTAGCACCTAGCACGGTGCCAGCCATGTGGTCAGTGCTCTGTCCAAAGTCTTCCACAAGGGCTTGGGGACTATATGGGGCAGTGCCATCCCCACTTCCTGAGGCACAGGCTGGGGTCCCAGGGACCAGCATGGCGGATGCAGCTCCTTCCTCCCTGGGCTGGGGTAGGATGAGAAGAGAGCAGCCGGGTATGGGCTGCTGCCTGCCCACTCACCGAGTTGATGCAGCCCAGCTCCTTGTTGAGGAGCCAGGGCAGTGAGAGCTTGCCCTCACCGCGGTAGCAGGACTGGATGCGCTCCTTGATCTTCTCCTTGATGGCCCTGAGTGTAAACAGGCACAGTGCTGACTCCTTAGGCGGCTTCACGCGGTTCTTCTGGCCCTGGGCAAACACAGTAAACAGTACGTCCTCGTCCTCAGCCAGGCCCAGCTGGTGGGCCAGGGCACGGCCGGGCCGGCTCAAGTAGGCGTCCTGCACCAGGCGATATTCCACCCCAGCCTGCTCGCAGCCGATGGGGAACTCCACATATGAGTAGAACTTGGGGTCATCCACACAGAGTCGCACAATCTTGGAGGTGAAGAAGTGCTCGCCGGCAGCATCGGGGGAGGTCAGCTGCGTGTCCAGCTGCAGGGTGAGGTAGTAGACAAACTGCTCGCTGCGGAAGCTGTACACATAGTAGATGTCAAAGGCTGGGAATTTGGACAGTGTGTCTGACGGGATCTTGAGCTGTGAGGACACAAACTCATCCTGGTACACGAAGCCGAACATGTCAGCGTCTTCCTCGTTGGCCATGAGCCTGCGGCTGGACAGCGTGGGGAAGTACTCGGACTTGCCGTCGATGGGTGTGCCCACAAAGAGCGTGGCCTGGCCCTGGCCCGGCGGCCCAGTGACGAGCACACCTGCCATGCTGCCAGCCTCACGCACACTGGACAGGTAGTGCTCCTTGCGGTGGTGCGGCTCACCCAGCTTGAAGAGGTCGTCAAGCCTCAGGAACTGGCAGATGCCCTGGGACGCACTGCCGCACGCCAACAGGCGGTTGGCAGCATAGTCCAGCAGCAGCAGCTTGTTGACGTTGTCAGTGCTGCCCAGGCCGTGTGGGCAGGACTGCACGCTGGGGGGCGGGTAGCACTTCTCATTGTCCTCCACGGGGCCTGTCACATGTGCCCGCAGCAGCGTCAGGTTCCCTGACAGCTTATAGATGCGGTTCACCGCGCCCACGTACACCTCACCCGTGTGCTCGTGGACTACCAGGTGGGTGAGGCCCCAGTCACTGGCCACAAAGGTGCGGAAGGCGGGCTGTAGACGACCACTCACCCCGGCCGAGCCTACGGCCACCCATGCAGCTTCCAGCAGCAGCAGAAGCAGCATCGGCAGTGTCCGAGGGCTCAGAGGTAGCAGCGGCATGGCAGGCCAGGACCCTGGGCCTCGGTCCTCGAGTTCTGTAGGGGTGAGCATCACGGGGCTGGGAGCCTCAGCCCTGGGAAGAACCAGCAAGAGAAGGCGTGAGCATGGGCACAGCGTGCACATCCACACACACGCCCCATCTCCTGACTCAGCGTGTACCCATCTTGTGTGGACACCTCCAGGGGAAAGAAACCAAGCCCCCCAAGAGAAGCTAGAGAAAACGAGGGACACTGTCCCACCCTGAGGCCCTGCAAGCAGCTAAGGGTGAGCCAAGTACCACAGAGACCAAGTCACGGCCACCAGCAGCAGCTAAGGCACCTGCCTGGCAAGAGGACACTGCACTGGAGCCTGCATCCTGCCCTGCTGGAGGAGGAGAGGAGTGCACAGAAGAGGGTGACAATGGCCCAGGGTCTATCCTGGGACCCCAGCTAGCACCCCAACTTGGGAGATATCGCCTTTGACTCAAAACCCATCCATGCCCCAGGGAGCAAGAACCCCCCACCCCCAAAAGCTCCTCATCCCCAGGATGCATGACCCCTTCCTTTCCTGCTTGAGGTTGCTGGGGACACCCCCCCCCCACTGTCATTCTACAAAAGCTGGACACAGATGGGACACAGCACTCATTCCCACTCCATACCCTGGCCACTCCAGACCTGCCCCAACAAGACGGCATGCTACCCTGGTGACCCCTTCCTGGTTTTGGGGTTGTGTCCACACCGTGGGGATGCCTGGGCTAGGGGAAAGAGGATGTCAGGTCTGCTGACACAGGGACACACAAAGGTGTGAGGAGCTGGCCCCTCTCCCTGGGCAGGGCTCTGCTTAATTAAGTTTGTGTCTCATGAGGACAGGAACCCTCTGGACCCAGCACCACCTTGACCCGGTGCAGCCATGTCCTGTACTACCACCCACCAGGTCTTCTCTGCACAGCTCAAAAGTCCTTAGTACAGGGCTCATTCTCACACAGGGTCCCCAGGGGATCCCCCAGCCACAGAGCCACACAGCAGAGGTCCTCAACATGGGCTGGGGGCCGTCTGGGTCACTCTCTACGGGACCTGGCCCTGGGCAACTCACTGGCTCGCTTTGGCCCAGCCCTTGTAGACATGCACTCCAAGGAAAGATCCAGAAGCTAAGCGGGTGGCTACTACCACCCATGGTTACACACCCAGTAACAGTGACCTATACTGACCCGGCCCCTGGCTCCCCGGCAGACCCTGGGTCTGCCTCCAACCCTGCCTCTCTGGCCCTGGCCTCACACCCACCCAAGCAAAGAGAACCCTCCAGAAAGGAGAGCAGGAGGCCCAGCCCTCAGCACCTCTGCCCTGACCCGGTCTGCGTCTGACTAGACCCGTACTCCCCAGGCCTGAGACCCACTGCCCACACCACACCAGGCCCTGGACACCTCCCACCACATCCACCCTCCCATCACAGCTTGCCCCATCAAATCTGCTCCAAACTGCCTACTCAGTGGCACTCGCCCCCTTCCTCTCGCCCTGGGCACCTGTGTTCACCTACAGCCAGGACACCACAAAGCAGCTTAGACCACTTTTCTAACCTGCACATGGGTCTCTACCCCCAAATTCTGCTTTGCTCCCCCCTCACTGCTTGTGGAAAGTGCCACCTCCCCTAGCCCAGCACATCCATATTGCCATTCTGCAGCTGTATGGCCCCGAGGAGGCAACTCCCCTTTCCTGGCCTCAGTCTCCCCACATGTAAAGGGGGTGACAACAGCCCCTCTCAAGGATAAGAGAGGGATGGTCATGGCCCACCTGAAAGGTGCTGGCAGCAGTGTCCCCTGTCGGGGTCCCAAGACCTGCTCCCACGTGCTGGGGTCTCTCATCCCCTTTGTGGCTGAAGCCTGACTGTGACAACACAGAGCATGGAGAAAGGACGGGTGCCCACCAGGCTGTGCACACCTTCTCTTTACTCTCATAAAATGCCCCTTATGTAGACTGGCAGCCCCACTTCTCAGCTGGGGACACTGAGGCCTAAACAGGAATGTCTCTGCCAAGTCCAGGCAGGGAGCTGGCTGCAGTTGGTCATCCCATGCCTCCCTGTCCTCCCCTGGAGTGCACGGTGCTCTGGTCTGCCCCACCCTCACCTGCTCAGGTCAGCTAGGAGTCTCCCTTGGCCTGCTCATGAAGACAGAGCTGCCAGCACTCAGTCAGTGGTACAGTCCTCACTAACAGTTTTGGTCACTTGCGTCTGCTCTCCAGGAAGACTGGCAGTGCTGCGAGAAGCAGGGCCTGGCTCTGCGTGGTTTGCACTGTCTCCCAGAGCCAGGGGCCTTAGGAGGGCTCAGTTAATATTTGTGAATGAATGCAAGAATAGATGGGCAACTGGAGTGACCAGCAGGGCTTGGGCAGAGCAGCAGCACTCCCTGGCTTTGTGGCTCCATTTCCCAGTGCACATCCACATGGGGAAACTGAGGCTCAGAGAAGCAAGGAGTGCCGGCCAGAATCCCAGAGCTGTGCCTCCTTACAGGACCCCTCCCAGCAGGCTGTCAAGCTGCCTTTCCCAGAAACCCACACTGCCCCAAGACCAGCAGCCACCAGAGGCCCTCACAGGCAGTCAGGAGAGGAACTCCCTCCCCAACTCTTCTGGCCTCTCCTGCCCAAGCCCAGGAGAGGGACCAGGGACCAGGGAGTCAGAGAACAGGTTCCTCACAGAGGCAGCGGGTCTGGCTGAGAGCTGAGTGCATGTGAACTCCAAAGAAAACATGAATCACTCACCGTTTATCAGTTCAAAGCAGGCCTGCAATTACCAGAGGCTGGGCTCTCCCCTCCTCCAGGATAATTACACATGTCTTAATGCAATTACGGGCTCTACTTTTTATACTAAACAGGAGGGACCCGGCTGAAAAAGCCACCATCCAAACTCCAGCCTGGCCCTGGGCCCTCTCCCCCACCTCCCAACAGAGGCTGCCAGGAAGGGACTGGCCCTGGGGCCACAGGTCAGGTGGCCAGGAAAGAGGGGATCCCAAGCCCAAGTCTGAGTCTTCACACCCACCATCTCACAAAGACCACTGAGGATGCCTGGGTCACTTTCTCTACCTTGAAGAGAATGGACTCCAGGCTCAGACAGACCCCAGGTCACACAGCTAGCAGGGCAGGGGCCAAATCCAGAGCTTCACAGAGACCTGTGCAGCCAGGCAACCTGCTAGGGCTCAATCCCACAAGCCTGGGGTCTGCCCAGGAAAGTGTCCTCATGAAGAGCCGGCTGGGGTGCCCCAACTCTCGCTATGGGAGTTCTGCTGGGCGCGGAGGGAGCACCAACAGATGCTAAGCTCCAAGAGAGGAGACAGAGCAGCACTGGCCACAGGGCCTAAAGAGGCTGTCCTCGGGGCCTTACCACCTATTATGGAAGGACCAAGCACCTGGGTGCTGGAAGGGTGGGGCACTCAGGGGTACGGAACAGCAAGAGCAAAGGTCTGTGGTGTCAGCCTGCCAGACATGCAGATGGGGCAGTAAGAATGGCTGCAGCTCCCCGGCATGGACAGTGGCTGAGTGGGCAGAGTCAGAGCCAGAACAAGAAAGCCACTCTGGGGCTAGGAGTATGGAAGAGGGACAGCCAGGGAGAGGCTTGGGGCTCCACTTCTGGATAAGAAAGGACCAGTTATCAATGGACCACACAAAGCAGTGCACCCTTCCCTCTCCTGGCCCTGGAGGACACCCTGGGTCCTTCTCATTCTGGGAAACAAAGGCCTAAGAGCCATCCTCACAGAGTGACAGCCCACTGCCCATTCCCTTCCCATTTTGGATCTTTCAGGGGCTCGCACCACCTGACCAGTGGTTTCCCATGGTCAGGTGTCACCCCGCCCCCCCCACTTCACAGGAAGTGGTCCCAAGTGGTCCTGCTCTCTACTAGTCGCTATGGGTCCAAGAGACTTGAGGCCTTGAAGTCACACTCCTCAGGAAGTTCCTGCATCCGGGGACCGTCCTTCTGGGCAGCTGCTCCAGCCTTCTCTGAGCACAGGGAGCTTCCCGGGGCTCACACCATGCAGGTAGCCACCCCCCACCTCCCCGCAGTGCAGAAGACCGTGTGCTTTTGTCCACAGGCACCCCTAGAGTGGGCAGCTTGGCCACACAAGGATTGCCAACCTTGTCCACAGACCCAGGCCTCCACCCATGCTGTCTCTGCCTGAAATACCTTTCCTGTGGCCGACGGTGCTGCTTCCAGCCCATGGCCCTGACTGGAATCCCTGCTTTGCACCTCTGCCTAGGGCTGGGTGTTCCTGGGGCTAGGCAGTCATGAGAAGACTGCCTGCTGCTGCACACCTCAAACCAGCCAGGGAACCTAGGGATGCTCCCCAAGGGCCAAGCGAGCAAACGAGGAGCTCCACCCCACAGACAGGAGACCCAGCATCGGGGTGAGAAGGTGGACAGCACAAGCAGCCCAAGGCAGCCACAGAAGCAGGGCTGAAGGACTGAGTCTCAGCTAGGTCCCCTCCCCCCAACCCCTTTCTTTCAAGGGGCGTGGCCCCAGCACCCCACAGATGAGCCAGAGGCACTCCAGGCACTAAGCAGACCCTCAGAGCCCCTCTCACCACCCCCCTTCTAGGGCTGCACCTGGGGTCTGGCCTGGCAGGAGGGGCCTCCCTGGACTCAGCAGTCTCCCTTCCCACGGCAGCCCAAGCCAAGCGGCCGCCACCAGCCTCACCACACACCAGGCCCGGGGCTGTCCAGGAAGCAATGGGAAACCTCCGGGGAAGAATGACCCTGGAGAGGCCCAGCGTGGGGGAGGCCGAGGAGGCCCGAGCAGCGGCCTCCCGGGTGGCACCAAACCGCCCCCTCCCAGCCAGGCGGCCGCCCTACGGGCCTGGGCTGGCCCCGGAGCCCACTCCCGCGCCGAGGCCAGAGGGGACGGGGGCGGCGGGGTCCCCACGAAGCGTTCCAACTTCCACCCCGGCGCCCGAGGGCCGGTCGGGGCGCAGTCCCCAGATTGCCCCGGCGCCCGTGGCCCTGCGCGAACGCCGCGGAGCCCTGCCCGGGCCTGCCCAGCTTGGCGCTCGCCGGCGGCCGAGGTCCGAGCCCGAGCGAGGTCCGAGCCCGCGGTTCGGGTGGGCCCGGGCACCCGCAGGGCCCACCCCGCGGGGCCGCCGCAAACTTTCTCTCCTGCCCCGAGGAGGGGGCAGCGCCCGCCCCCACTGCGCCGCCCGGGAGTGCTGCTTGGCGGGGTCCAGCGGGCCGGGCCGAGCCGGGCCAGGCCGGGAGACAGGGAGAGGCCGGCGGCGGGGCCTGGGGCCGCGGTCCGACCCGGCCGCGCGGGGACGCGGCAGCTCAGCGCCGGCGTCGCGACCGCGCCCGGACACACGCGGGCGCCCGGCCGGAGCCGCAGGGACACGCGGACCGCGGACGCGCGCGCCGCAGTCCCCCACGCACACCCCCTGTCCGCCCGGCGCTCACCAGCCGCCTGCCGGAGGCCGTCCCCGACCCGCCCGGACCCCCATCCCGGGCGGCCCCCCTTTCCCGGGAACCTCCCCCATCCGGCCGCAGGAGCCGGTAGCCCGGGACCCCGACCGGCCGCCCCTTCCCGATCGCCGCCCGCGCAGCGCAGCGCAGCGCCGCGGGGAAAGTTGCACCCCGACTCACCGGCCGCCCCGGGGCGCGCCCCGCCGCCGGCCATCGCCGCGCCCCGTCGCCCGCCGCGCCTCCTGTCCCGCCGCGGGGCTGTTGAAGCCTCGCAGGCCGCCCAGGCCGAGGCCGCCACCGCGCCCGGGCTCCACTGCGTGGCCGCGCTGCCGCTGCCCAGCATGAATGGGGCGCCGAGCGCCGCGCGGCTGCGGACCGGCCTCGCTCTCGCCGCCCGCGGAGCGCTGCGCTGTGCGCATGCGCCGCCCAAAACCGGGGGGCGGAGCTAGGAGGCGGGGCCGGGGCGGGACCCGCGGCGGCCTCCAGAGGGCGCTCGGCCCCGCGCCGCGCGCGCTCTAGGTCGGGCCGCGCGCCGTCAAAGGGCGATGCCTCCTCCGTCTCAAATCGCTGGCCTCGGGGTCCGAGGCAGGACGTTCCGGGAGTCCGCGTCCCCAAGAACGAGCCCTCGGTCTCCGTGTGCCCGGGCTGGAAGCGCAGCCTTCATCCACGGGAGGGTAAACTGGGGTCCGGGGAGGAGATCCCCCCGGTCCTGTAGGACTGCGTGTCCTGTCTGTTAGGTGGGACCGGCCCCTGCGTGGGTAAGCCGCGGGCGCCCCCTGCAGGTAGGGCCGCGCGATCCCCTGCGGGTACCCGGCGGTGGCGCGGTCACGGATGCCCACACCGCGCCCCGTCCTGCAGTAGGGGCGTGGCGGGACACTAACCCTGCACCCTGCCGTGCAGAGAATCGGACCTGGCGGACCGAAGGTGCAGGGCTGGGTTGCAGAAGCTGGTCTGGCCTGGCTGGGGACAAACATGTCACTGTGAAGGCGTGCATTCAGCCGCCCTGCTCTCTCCGGGAAGCCTCTGGTGCAAAGCAGCCAGCGCACAAAACAGCAGAAAGCATCCAGAAACGTCGTGAGGGGGTGAGGTCTGGCGGACACCGGGTGCCCACTGCAGCCTGGATGGTTTGGGCTGTGTGTGAACCCTGTCACCTGCGCACAGCTCACAGGGTGAAGGCCACTCCAAGGTGTCCTGCGACATCTCATCTGATCCTTCTCCCCCAGGCAGCCTCCACCTCTTTTCTGTGTTAAGCCTTTCCTGACTTTTTTTTTTTCTGGGTGTGACCATTTGTCACAATTTGGCTCCCTGAGTGGCATGTTTTGTGTGTGTGTGGCTTGTTTTCGGACATGATAGAAATGCAATCACACCGTGTGTGCTTCCTTCCTCCTCGAGAGGGCTGCAGTGTGGTGCTGCTTGCCATAGGCAGCTCCGCTTTCACTTCTGTACTGTTCCATCCCGGCTGGTCATCCCTTTCCTGCTGGGGGAATGGGCGGGGTGGGCCCCCACTCCAGGCCTTGACCGATGAAGAAGCAATAAGCGTCTTGTGCATGTAGCTCTGGGCCGTGTTTTGGAGATACTGCAAAACCCAGCGAAGGCTCCAGGTGATCCCTCCAGCAGTCCTGTGGACGCTGCCCCGTCCCCGCTGACACGCAGAACTGTCATGCTTTAGTTTCTGCCACTCTTGTGGCATGAACTCCTTTTTCATGCTACCTCTTTTTTGGGCAGTGCTGTGGATGGAACCCACTCAACCTCTTCTCCTTCTGAGCTCAACAGTCCCCAGGAGAGCCCTGGCCTCTACTTGAGGTCCAGTCCTCATCTCCACTGTATTCTGAGGAAGGTCAGGGGAGCCAGAACCAAGCAGTGACCTGCCACCCCCATTCTTCCCCTGTCTCCACAAAGAGCACTTCACCTCCAACATTCCCACCCCGAACCTCGGTGCCCTCCTGGGCCAGACCCCCCCACCCCCCGCCTCCAGGCCTCCTGCATCTCCCAGTCCTGTGGATTCTCCTGAAAACTTACTCTAGATCCTGTGCTCCCTTCCATCTCCACTCTGGTCTCCTGTCTCATATGCTCTACCTGCTCCTACTTGGTCACATGCCTCTACTACTCTGTAGATTGGAGCAACAACAGCTTTCAAAATGCAGATCTGATCACATAACCTTCTCATACTAACCCCCAAGAATCCTCACACCATATACAGCCATCAATTCCAGATAGCCACAGGCCTGAGTGTGACAAAGAAAAGAAAGTGCAAGACTTTTAGGAGACAATGGAGCAAGGGAAATAGTTCTTAAACAGGATATTAGAGAGAGAGAGCGAGAGAGAGAGAGAGAGAGAAACAGGGAGAAAGAGGGAAGGAAAGGAAGAAAGGAATTTGACTACATTAAAATTAATTACTTTTGTTCATTAAAGTTTCCAAATAAGGAAATAAGGAAGTAAGGAGACAGGATCTCAAAGATCTCTTACAGCGCAGAATTAGTAAGGATATGTATGCAGAATATATAAAGAACTCCCAAGAGTCAACAAGGAAAAGGGAACAAAGTCTTGGGTAGTGGGTCCATAGCTCCCTGATATGCATCTGACCCCAGCTGCACCTCCCTCTGGTTAGGCTGGGGCTGGTCCTCACGTGACCTCACTGGGTCCTGATACTACCCTTCTCCGGTGCAGAAGGAGAAGAGGAAGCGCCCACAGCAGAGCTGGGATTGGAACGTGGGTCAGCAGCGTTGGGGCTCCTGATCCACATCATGGGGAGGGGAAGTGAGTCAGCACAGCAGCTAGGCTGCTAGCTCTTCCCTCGGGTTTCCCCACGGGTTCACTTCTGTCTACCGGACACAGTTCAGAGGGCAGGGAAGCCTGGTTCTATCCAGGTGTCAGAGGAGGTTCTTTTGTCCCTTCCCATTCTCTGGCCATTGACGCAGTTTCAGGGACCATTTCTGCATTTATGTGACTCAGTGCTTCCTGCAAAAGCAGGTCATGGTTCTTCTGCCTCTCCCCAGCCTCCCCAGGGGACAATCCACAGATCCCTGGAAACTGGCTCAATGCTGGAGGCCATCCTGACTCCTGTCTTTTCTCTGGTCCACAATCAGAGAATCAGAATCAGTGACACTGCCACTTCAAAATATTCCTACCCCATCCATTTCTTACCTCCTCCACTTCTGTCCCTTTGGTCACCAGCTTCCATCCCATTGCCTCCCACAGCTCTGCACCTGTGACCCAGAGGGATCTGAGGGAGGAGAGTGGGTGGCCTGTTCAGACCTTCCAGAGGTTCCTGGGATACACAAAATACCTCCATGCTTGTGCATGTAGGCACACAACTGCCAACACACATGCTCACATACACACATGTACATGTGCACTCACATATAGACACACACGTGCCCATACACATGCAGGCACACACGTGCACACAGATGCACTCACACGCATATAAACACATTTGTAATAATGCACCCTCACCCCACACGCACACATGCTGGCCTCGCATCCCTCTGGCTTACCAAAACTGCCCCCACCAGCTGTTGGTATCACTTGCACACATTCTTCCCCTAGGGAGATGCTGGCCCTGTCCTCCAGCCTCCAGCTGGGTCCTGCTGGGTCCCTCCCTCTCCCTGTGTTTAGGGTCAGGGCCTGTACGATTTCTCAGGGCTCTACCTGTGGCAAGGCACAGAGTAGGAGCAGTGTCTGGAGTACTGTAATCATCTTGGTTCAAGCTGTGAGCCTGAGCTTACAGGACCCTCTGAAGGTGACATGGGGCTGGAAGCAGCTGCTCTTGCACTGTTGCCACTGGGTAGAAAGGGCACAGGGGGAGAGGGGACAGGCAGTGTGGATATGGGCCAGAGGCACAGTGACACCAATGGAGGGTGCTCACAGACCCCATCCTCAAACTTCAGGCTCTGCCTGGTCCTCCACAAGCAACAGAAAGGCCCAGCCCAGGGGACAACACTGCAAACAGAAGGCTCACCTGGCCCCAAGCAGCCCTCCCCACTTGCCCACCCCACCTCTGCCCTCTCCCTCCCCTTACCACATCAGTTGGGTGTTATTGGTTGCAGGTGACAGAACCTCACCTGGACCTGGGCTCTGGGGGCCTTTGTTGGCTCAGGCGAGCAGCAAGCCAGGCCTGCACAACATGGTCACCAGGCCCTCGCATTCATTCTCTCACCACCTGGGGGCTCTGCTGGAGGTAGTTTGCTCAAAGAAACCCAGGGCAGTCATCAAAACAGCAGGCCCGGATATAGGGCAGGCCATGGCCCTGGGTACCCTGAAGCCCCTGTGTATGTCCCCAGCAACCAGCATGGCCCTGTTGTCCTCCCTCCCCACGTCCAGCATATGAGCTCCTTTATGAGGAGGGCTGTCCCTCACCACCCTGTGGACACAGTGGCTCCAGGCAAAGGGACCTTCCATGCCCACAGCCAGGCAGTGGGGAAGCCCAGTTTCTAGACCACGCAAGTGGGTCCCCAGTGGGTGTTCCAACTCCTATGTTCTGCCATGTGACCCTACTCAGTAGCAGGATGCCTTCAATCCAGGACCCCATGGTGGTGACAGGCTCCACCCCTCACCACTTCTCTCTTTCAGCACCCAGAGCTCTGCCACACTGACTTCTTGTTCCAAAGATGCCTCCACCCCCCAGGTCTGTCTCCATCCAGTGCCAGGAGGGTCCCCAAGCTCCTACTCCCTTCCTCCAGGAAGTCCCTGACTGTGGCCCAAACCTGACTCTGAGCTCTGCTAGGCTTTCTGTCCCTTTTTGTGCCAGCTCTGACCAGTCCGGGCCTGGATCTGTCATTATCCCATCCCTGGTCTTGGAGACACAACCAGGTCACTGCCCACACTGTCCAGCACAAAAGACCGAGTAGCAACTCCCAACTCCCCCTAAGAGCAATGGGGAGGTTTGGCATTGCCTCATCCTGGAGCTACAAACTCAGCTGTCAAATGCGTGAGGAACACGGGGTGGGACAGGCTGAATGCAGAAGCTGCAAGGGCTGAAGCTGGAGCTGTGCTGGAGGGCACCTGCTTTGTTGGAAGCACTTACGTGATATTGCGAAGTGGTGAGCGAACAAGATATGCTGGCGAGAAAAGTCTGGCCAGGAGGCTTGGCGTTTGCAATGCCTGGCTCTGTCCAGTTCCTACACAACACACGCCGCACCAGCAGTAGTGCTCGTCACCTGAGCCTCACAGCCAGGTCACCAATGATGTCCCAAAAGATGGGAACCCTCCCTACTTCTGGCACCCCTCTGTAAGGCCTGGGAGCCCTTGTCCCCCACAGCACCAAGAATCAGCACAGCAAGAGGTCAGCCTGCTGGCTCCCCAGAGACTAGGTTTTCTCATTGTGCTAAAAACACCTGGGCTGAAGTGAGGAAGCTGGACTTCCCTCCCCCTCCTG